AGGAGAGGGGAGAGGCGTCTCGGTGTTCGTGTTGATGATGGGGATGATGGGGATGGTGGTGGTGGTGGTGATGGTGGTGGTGGTGGTGATGGTGGTGTTTGTGGTGGGGTTGTTGATGATGTGTTTGCTGTTTCTCTGCACTTGCTGCTGCTGTTGCTGCTGCTGCTGCTGTTTGTTCATCTGTCCCCAGCGCAGAGGCCAAGGCAAGAGGCAGCACTGCAGCAAGAGTAAGCTTCAGAAAGGAGGTGAGGGGACTGCTGTCTCCTTTTGTGTTTTCTTTGGTGTTAAAGCTAAATGCAAAAGGAGACAAGTGTCTCCTTTTGTGTTTCCTCTTTGCTTCTTGCTTTTCTCCCTTCTCCTGCTGCTGCTGCTGCTGCTGCTGCAGCTGCTGCTGCAGCTCGTGATGATGATGGTGCAGCAGCAGCCTGCTGCTGCCTGTGAACGCGGGGACTGCCCCCTCGCTGTGCAGCACCGAAACAGCCGATCCGCTGGGATCGTCTCCTGAGGCGATCCCCAGCTGTGGGGTCGTATCCTCCAGCACCCGTGCTTCCTGCGCGCCGCCTCTGCGGCAAAACAGAAAAAAAAAAAGAAAACAAAAGCCAATGTTGTACACTCTTTATATTTTCTTTTTTATATTGTTTTTATATACTAAACCCTGAACTGTCAACCCTATATTATATAATAATATTTTACTATTATACTCCTTTATGTCTTATACTCTTTAACAATAGGCAGAAAACAAAATACAAAAACAAAGTCAAGCCCACCAAACCCTAAACCCTAAACCCTAAACCCTAATATGCTAGTAAACCCTTAGTCCCTACACAAACCCTAAGAACAACTACACAATTAATAAAGGAGAAAGATAGCGCATACTCTGTGTTTAGGTGACCTGGAGTTGAATACAGCCAAGACAGCGCGACACCTAACCCTAAACCCTAAACCCTAAACCCTAAACTATACAGTGAAGGCAGTATTGTGGGGAACTCTAAACCCTAAACCCTAAACCCTAAACCCTAAACCCTGATGTTGACTATCCAGATACCCTGAAATAGCTTATCGGCCCAACGAGTTGATGGTTGTGTACAAGTAAACCCTTTATTTATTTGTTGCATTATTTCTTCGTTATGTTTGTATATTTCTATATTAATTTATATTTATTAAATTAAATAAATTAAATTAATTTAAATTATTAATTGTGAGGTGTAAGCACAAACAAGTTAGTGTTAGTGGTGTTGATGAGGACTTACAAGGGGTCAACTAACTCCACCTGCACAAGGCCCGCACCCACCGGCGGCAGCTGCAGATTCAGCTTCTGCTGCTGCTGCTGCTGCTGCTGCTGCTGTTGCTGCTGCTTCTGAGTCCAGGCCTGCGTTAGCTTGAGGGGCGCTGGCCCCTGCAGGCCGCACCACTGCAGCAGGTCTGGTGCTGCTGCTACAATAGAAAGCGGCTGCTGCAACCCATTAAAAAAACCCAATATGAAATCTCCATCACCCAGCTGTCTACATATCACCTCTAAGCCGTCGGAGCCGTTGCTGCGCTGCACTGGGAGAGAGACAGAGACAGCAGAGGCACAAACCCTAAACCCTAAACCCTAAACCCTTAAAAACAAAAGGATGTAAGCGGCTTGAACAGTGCAGACACCACACCAACGGGAATAAAACAAAAAAATAAAAGAAAGGATATAAAGACGCCGGCGATAGCCTCAACAGAGAAAAAAATTAAACAAAAGAAACGAAGCAAAGGCTCTGTACTAAGCCTATGCAACAGACAGCACACACTGACCTGCGCCTGGGTGGGGATCAGTTACGGCCGTGAGGAGCACCCCGTCTTCTATGAGAGAGGCTGCAATAGACACAACAAACCCTAAACCCTAAACCCNGCCGTGAGGAGCACCCCGTCTTCTATGAGAGAGGCTGCAATAGACACAACAAACCCTAAACCCTAAACCCTAAACCCTAAACCCTAGATATTCAGTAAAGCCCGCAACAATACGGCAGTTCACCTTTCCTCTATAATGCCTTAGGAGCATCGAGAGAAAAATAGAAAACACATGTAAGCTATTTGTTGTTTTTTTATATTTCTTTTTCTTTTGTTGTTTATTATTATTTGAAACAAGTGGAGGGAGAAGTGAAAAGGAGAAGAGAAAGAAGAAGAGGCAAAGGTAAAACAAAGCCTGTGGGGATCCGATCCCAGGCAGTGGGGATCGGCTGGGATTGAATCTGTATCGACTGGGATCGACTGAGCAGATGCTGGGATCGAGTGCAGCACTCTGCTGAGGTGTACATACACCCCAACCTTTTGCTTACCTTCTTGCAGAAAGTCGGTGAAGGAAGAAACTCTCACTGACACTTGACCCCCAAAGAGAGCCTGAAAAGAAAAAAAGAAAAAAAAAGAAAAAAAAAGAAAAAAGAAAAACACTGTTTTCTCTCCTCTCGCGGTGATGAGGAGACAACAAAAAAAGACAAAAGAANTTCTCTCTGCTGCTACACGTATCAAGAGAAAAAAGGAAGAAGGCGGCTGTGGGGGGCGTACAGTTAAAGCCAAACGCCTTTGCCTCTCCGTCGCCACAGCAACGGGATCCGATCCCAGCTTCGTGGGATCCGATCCCGAGTTCATCTGCATATCATGAGAGCTGCTGCTGCTGCTGCTGCTGCTGCTGCTGCTGCTATCAGTGTCCACCCACTCCCCACAGAATGAATTCATTGCCTTTAAGGCCGCCTTGCTGCTGCAGCAAAGCAGCAGCAACCAGCAGCAAAGCAACAGCAGCAACAAAGGGCAGATGAGAGAGGCATGCAACAAAACCCTACAGACACTAAACCCTCCAAACATCACAGCTCGCCCACAGGAAGCATCACGATAAACCCTAAACCCTAAACCCTAAACCCTAAACCTAAACCCTAGAAAATTAGATCGGAAACCATAAAGCCTTTAATTCTAAATATTAAATATTAAACCCTGAACCCTAAGCCTCAAACCCTAAACCCCCAATTGTAATCCTAAACCCTACACTACAAACGCCAGACCCTAAAACATAAACCTTAAGCCCTACACCCTAAATGCTACAAACGAAACTCCTAGACTCTAAACCCTAGACCCTAACCCCCCCCCATAAACCCTAAACCCTAAACCCTAAACTCGAACCCTCAAACTCGAGATTCTTTTACGCACTCTTCTCCGTGTGGCTTTTGGGGTGTCCAGGAGCAGATCAGCCGCAGAGAGGGAACGAGGGCGTTTGCAGCTTCGCCCCATAACTCCAATTCTGCCGCAGCTTCTTCTGGGGTTTGTGCGCACGAGTTTAGCTGAAGACAGACAGCGACAGCAGCTGTACATACACCTGAAGAGGAAGAGGAGGAAGAGGACATGTTCTGCTGTGAAGCTACCCTCTCATCCTAGAACAAGACTAAAATAACAAACAGCAGCAAGCTGCTGCTGCTGCTGCAGATCAAAACACATGCAGCATCCTGCTGCTGTGTGCCTCATTAGCATTGCTGCAGCAAGAGCCTCAGCAGCTTGCTGCTGCAGGGGTTCTGGCTGGAGCAGAGACGGGCAGCTGCAGCAAGGCTGCTGCAATACAATAGCAGCAACAGCCAACCCAAACAGAAGACGAGCGGAATTAAATTAATATATGTACAGCAGCAGAGCCATAGACATACCTTAAGAAAGTCAATACCCCAGGCAGCCATGGCTCCAACCAACTCTGCCCGGGTAACCCTGAAACAGAACTCCACATACACTTGAAAAGAGAGTGAGGAATATGAAGCTAGAAGCAGAAATAAAAAAAAAATACAAAGAGAAATGACAAACAAAAACAACAAAACACAGGGGAAGCGCAAAAATATGAATAGTCCGCAGGAATTAACATAAAGTAAAACCTGAATGGCTAAATATATGAAAAAGAAAGCCTCGAAAGATGAAAACAAACACAAAAAACAAATGCATGCATCCATACATGCACAAACAAGAAGAGCAGCAGAGGCAATTGCAGCTGATAGATACCGCAATACACAGCAGCAGCACAGGTTCGAGTTTATTGTTTATTATTAAAGTGTATATCGTATTCTATTTGTATATTTGAAGGAAATTAAGATGATCCATAAACTTATTATCAATTATATTAATCATAAACCCCACGTCGCAACAAATACAGAAAAAAGAAATACAAGTAGCTGAGGAAGTCTAGCGGTAGCAGAAGGCTCTGTGTTTGCTCCTTCTTTTTCTGTGTTGTGTTGTTTTATGTTGTTTTGTGTTGTATTGTGTTGTTTTGTGCTGTACTGTGTTGCTTTGTATTTGTTTTGCTTTGTGATGTCTTCTCTTTAGTTTTACACTGAACTGTAAGCAGAGGCAAACCGCCGCAGCTGTTCCTTTTTCTTCTTTTTTGTTGGGTTGAGTAAGAAGTATATGGCTTTCTAAGGGAAGCTTGGAAATATATAAGCATACTCTTATACCAAAAATAATAATAATAATAGTGAAGAGTATTATTATTTCATGTGTACTCTAGATTGTGAATAAGTACTTTAGTGTTAGTGATAGGCTGCACTGATTCTCTCTTCTGTTTGTTTTCAATTATATTAAGAATATGCCATCTATTCCTATATTTAAGCTGATATGATTATATCTTTCGTTTGTTTTCATATCGCCTCAGACGCAGCACAGCTCACCCCTCTGGGTGGGGTTCAAGCCCAGGGCATTCTCTAGGGGTGACGGTGACGCCTAAGCCGAAGAGAAGTCCTTTATCGCGAGCATATTTCGCAGCAGATGCAATTCCACGAGGGAATATGGTCTTATTGACTTCAATTTCTCCCGGGTGTATGGACAGGTGGCTGTCTTCGTGCTCGGTGGGTTCATCGTCATCTGCAGCAGGCGGAGACGCAGACTCCTGCTTGCTGCTCTCACGCCAGCAGCTCTCCACTGCGAAGTGCCGCATGCCGCGCTTGTGAGCAGAAGAAGAAGCTGCTAGACTGAGGGCTTCGTTGAGCCGCTGCTCGTCCCAGTCTTCTGTTCGGCATTTTGACTCTGAGACAAACACAAGCATTACACACGCGGAACAGGGGAGCCAATGGTTGTCTTTAGGAATATGTTTGCTCAACTCCAGCTGCACAGAGTGCTTTAAGTGGAGTCTAGAGAATTTTGGTGCTGTTATCCTCCCATATGCTTCATGGCGCCTCCTCTTGCAGCCAAAGGTGAACCCCAAACAGACGAAGAACTCACGAGCCCAGGGAGAAATGAACCACCCGGCCAGTTTCCTCTCTTTTTCTGAATTTGTAATTATCACTTGAACGCTTTCATAGCTCTGAAGGGCAGTAAACGCCGCGTTCTCCGGGCGGTCTGCCAAGGCGTCCGGTGCATGGACCACCGGCCCCCCCCCCAGTTCTTCGTCGAGGGGAAAAGGAAGAATTCCTTCCTCGTCCCCAAAAGGTATTTCAAAAGGCTCAAAAGCATTTGTTTCTGAAGCTAATCCCAGAAGCAGAAAATGCAAAAGAACAAAACACCCAAGAGCCCCGAGGCGACGGACCAGCCGTCGAGGATACTTGAATTCGCAACGGATCCTCATGGAAACGANCCAAGAGCCCCGAGGCGACGGACCAGCCGTCGAGGATACTTGAATTCGCAACGGATCCTCATGGAAACGAACACCAGCAGTCCTCTATTTTCTTGTTTTCTTTGCGTTTCACAGAATATAAAGCCGGTTATTCTCAAATAAAAGAAGCGAAGAAGAAATATGCAATATATAACGCCTTGGAGAAAACTTGAATGGGCCGAGCCCAGTTCAGGTTTCAGTTCAGACAGGGAAGAGATCAACTGTTCTGTGTTTCAATTGCACCGTGCACACGTCCTACATTTGACCTTCCCTCGGTCTTAATAAACAATATTCAAGTAAAAAGGATTATTTAAGAGTTATTTCTTCTCTTTTTCTTCACTTTCCTGGCCTTCGGGCTCTCACGCCGAAGGCGCCCGGCCGCCGGCGGCCCCCGTGGCCTCTGGCGAAACCAAGTGCTGCCGAAGGCCCGATGAAGTGTAAAATGCATGCACTTGCAGCAATTCAGTATTCTACAAGTTCCTCAATATTGTATTTAATGAGTATAATAGATTCAAATGCTTACTCGTGGCCGTTCTCCCGCGGCAAATATTCTAAGATCCCTCATTCAAATGCCGACGAAACATACGGGATTCAGAACTCTGCCTTCGCTCCTCTGTCTGTGTCTTATATTCCACAGAGCGAGTAATAATAAGTATAAAGTCCTAGCTAGCGTAATATGATAATTTTTTATCAACTTAGGAGGAGTGCTTAATAATAAGTAGCATGTTCTAAAGCGTCGGTAGTAATGAGCTAGAATGTCGTAAGAAGTTATCACTAACGCTGCATATATATATATATATATAT